ATTGTACAGTTACTGTCATGCTCCGTTGTTTCTGGCCTCGAGTTTCTTACATGATAAAATGGGGAGAGTGAGAGAGAGAGAGAGAGAGAGAGAGAGAGAGAGAGAGAGAGAGAGAGAGAGAGAGAGAGAGAGAGAGAGAGAGAGAGAGAGAGAGAGAGAGAGAGAGAGAGAGCTAGAATTGCAACACGATATTTGCCGAGGTGTAACCCGTCTTGCAGGAGCACCCACGTCGCTCTCACACACCCCTGACGCTACCCGGCGTCTGCCAGAGTCCTACACTCACTCTTCCATGCATCATCCTGGAAGAGACTCTTCTCCCGCTCTTTCACCACCCTTTCTCCTTCCTCCCTGGTCCGTCCGTGTATGCCCCTATGCCTAACACACACCTCCTGATATACTTGAGTGCTTATATGACGCCATTCATCAAGGGCAGCCATGGTGTGTGGGCGCTGCCTCCCGACAGCGGCAGGCATGGTGTGTGGGTGCTGCCTCCCGACAGCGGCAGGCATGATGAGTGGGCGCTGCCTCCCGACAGCGGCAGGCATGATGTGTGGGCGCTGCCTCCCGACAGTGGCAGGCATGGTGTGTGGGCGCTGCCACCCGACAGCGGCAGGCATGGTGTGTGGGCGCTGCCACCCGACAGTGGCAGGCATGGTGTGTGGGCGCTGCCTCCCGACAGCGGCAGGCATGGTGTGTGGGCGCTGCCACCCGACAGCGGCAGACATGGTGTGTGGGCGCTGCCACCCGACAGCGGCAGGCATGGTGTGTGGGCGCTGCCACCCGACAGCAGCAGACATGGCGTGTGGGCGCTGCCACCCAACAGCAGCAGACATGGCGTGTGGGCGCTGCCACCCGACTGCCCACCAGCCCAATACCTTCCCTCCGGGCCCTTATATTTAAATTATTTCAAGAATGGTCCCCCTCCACAGTCCCCGTCGGTCTCTAAGGGGCAAGGAAATTGGTGTAATTTAAAAGAGATTTACTTGCTGACCGAGAGGCCAATTATAAACCAATTTAGCACAACTATCACATCTTCCTTCCTGCTCGTCGTAAGACGTCGCACACATAGAGACGACAGCAACGGTTACTTGTCCCCATCCCCTCTCTCCCCTCGCCTTCCTCATCACCTTAATCACCTGTCGTTGACTTTCGGAGAAATGTCGTTAAGATGAGATAATTGCGCGGGTTACGCCCTGAGTGAGCGCGGTGTTCTTTAGGGGGGGCCTCTTGTGTTCCCGTTGCTGGCTGGGAGTAAACACGACGACACCGCCACACGAAAAGGAGTCTCACGGTTCGTTTTTCCTACCGTTCGTGTGCTGTTCTGTAGTGCGTTGATCCAAGGTGTGAGATATTAGCTGTGTGTGTGTGTGTGTGTGTGTGTGTGTGTGTGTGTGTGTGTGTGTGTGTGTGTGTGTGTGTGTGTGTGTGCATGTGTGTGTGTGTGTGTGTGTGTGTGTGTGTGTGTGTGTGTGTGTGTGTGTGTGTGTGTGTGTGTGTGTGTGTGTGTGTGTGTGTGTGAACCGAATTTAATATAATAGTTATTGCTACCTATAAAACAAAAAACACCACACAACACTAGAAAAGTATTACTACTACTTATAATACGAGCAACACGTTGCAATAGTTGAGAAAGCGGGACCAAAGAGTCGCAGCTCAACCCTCCCTCCCCGCAAGCCCAACTAGGTGAGAACAAGTATTTATGATCACCCTGGTTGGGTTTAAGGGCCACTCAAACTACTAACGACCTTACGGGAAATTGTGAGGAGATACCCGCAGTCTATCTATCGTAGACTATCGTAGATACTTGTAACTATCAACAACACAGCGAATTGTGGGTTGCGGTTTACGATATTTTCTCAAGTGTACACGTAACTTTCCCAAGGAAATAATGTAGGTGATGATTATGATAAAACTATTATTTTCTAATGAGGAAAACAAATCATAATACTAATAAGAATAATAAAACGGATTATTAAATGATTATACAATAATTTGTATTATTATTATTATTATTATGAATGTTATACATAGTTATTTTAGTATATCAATTTGCTGTATTTGTATTAGATTATTGGTAATGTTAATGTTCGTTATTCTGTTTAGGAGAGCTCTTAGAGTGTGGTGAGGGTGTGGTGAGGGTGAGGGGTGTAGTGAGGGTGTGGTGAGGGTGAGGGGTGTAGTGAGGGTGTGGTGAGGGTGTGGTGAGGGTGAGGGGTGTAGTGAGGGTGTGGTGAGGGTGTGGTGAGGGTAAGGGGTGTAGTGAGGGTGTGGTGAATGTTATCAGGGTATTATCAGGGTTACCCTCCAAAGAATACCTGATCAACCAGGCTGTGACTCATACGTCAGGCTGCGAGCAGCCGCGTCTAACAGCCTGGTTGATCAGTCCAGCAACCAGGAGGCCTGGTCGACGACCGGGCCGCGGGGACACTAAGCCCCGGAAGCACCTCAAGGTAGCCTCAAGGTAGGGTGTGGTGAGGGTGTAGTGAGGGTGTAGTGAGGGGTGTTGTGAGGGTGTAGTGAGGGGTGTTGTGAGGGTGTAGTGAGGGTGTAGTGAGGGGTGAAGAGTGTGGAGAATGCCAGTAGCTGAGGTGTAAGAGAAGAGAAGAGAGACAAGTGTAGCGGCCATTACCCAGACTCGGCTGAGAACACCTTCCTATACGAGACGTCAGTAAACAATAAAAGGGCCTCAATAACCACGTATACTCGTTAACGTTTATCGAACGAGAGCTCATAAACTTGTAAGATTTGCATCTTTCTCAGTGAAGGATTCTAGTAGTCGTCACCCGTGCGTGTGTGTGTTGACGATGTGTGCCTGCAGAATCGAGCTATCAGCTCTTGGACCCCGCCTTTCTAACCAATCTATTTTTCCTCTATTATGTCTACTACACATTTCTCTAACATACGCACACACATATATGTGCTTCAGCCTACAGTTTAGACCTATTGTCTTGTGTATGACCCTCTCTCCTGTGTGACAGTGAATACCAGCATTATCCTCACTTTAATAAGATTTAATTGAAATCCTCACATTAGGCAATATTGTAAATAAATTTTGTCAATAAAGATGTTATTAATAATATAAACACACACACACACACACACACACACACACACACACACACACACACACACACACACACACACACACACACACACACACACACAGGAAGCAGACCGTAGCAGCTGCCTAACTCTCAGGTACCTATTTACTGCTAAGTGAACATGTGCATTGGCTCTTTGGTCCCGCCTCTCAACTGTCAATCAACAGGTGTACAGATTCCTGAGCCTATTGGGCTCTATCATATCACCACTTGAAACTGTGTATGGAGTCAGCCTCCACCACATCACTTCCACACTGTGTGTGTGTGTGTGTGTGTGTGTGTGTGTGTGTGTGTGTGTGTGTGTGTGTGTGTGTGTGTGTGTGTGTGTGTATCCCGCCACACGAGGTAAACAATTCGAACCAATTTTACGTCGATGCGTTTGTACATTTCCTGTCCTCCTTGACGTGGCTCCTCTCCCCCTTCCGCTCCCCCCTCCCCAACATCCCCTCCCCCCTCTCATGGAGGAGGGAGGGCCCTGTAAATGACAGTAATTTGAGTGATGGATCGAGAAGCTGGGCTGGCCCTAGGGTCCTGGTGGCTGCCTCAGAGCTTGTCCGCGCCCCACCACCACCACTACCAGCACCATCACCACCACCACCACCACCACTACCACTCTACCATTCACACCACTGTAACCACCATCACCAACACCACCAGAACCACTACCACCAGCACCACTATCAGAACCACTAACACCAGCACCACCATCAGAATCCCCAACACCAGCACTACCAGAACCACTATCCTCAATACCACCACCACCTCCACCACCCTGAGGTGTTATCAAGACATAGCAATCGTTCTCCAACACTGGGCTTTGCGTGTTGTGTGACTGGCTGTTTCTTGCCCTGGGGGCTCCAGGATCCTGCCAGACACCCGCTCGGGCACTGTCCGGATCCTCAGCCACACACACAAAAAAACAAATAGAAACCTCGTATTTCATATTTGGGCAAATGATCAAATTAGTTTCGATGGTTTATACATTTTCCCCCCTGGAAACTCCAACGTTTGCCAGAGCCTCGGAGTTAGCGTCCTCTGTGGCTGGAAGATCAGCCCTTAGAGTAGGACTTCTGTGGGTCGTCATACATGTTTCCTTTCAATACTGTAACGTGTCTGAGTTGTCAAAACTGGTTGCCGTCGCGAGAGACAGAGATGACGTCTTAATTCGGGTTTGGCTTCGTCTCGTTACATTCTAATTCCCCTGGGCTTAGGTCATTACTAGACGATATTGTCTCTAGGCTTCTAGGTTGATGTTTTTTTGCCCTCAGTTGACCCCGTCGACTCCTACGCTCTGGCTTTTGTCTTCTGCGGCAGTGTTTCATTGCTGGCTCTTTCCTTGGAGATGTGTTCTCTCTAAGTCTAGATGTCATACACAACACCTCAGCGAGACACAGGTGTCGGGGAACACCTTTAATGATACTTGCGTGGAAGCTCAATAATAATATATAACAGTTAATAAACACAATAAACTTCTAAATAAGAGTATAATAACTTTTACAACAGCAAATTACAACTCGTCATAACAATTACTAACAATAATTAATAAATAATAATGTCGGTATAGTTTCTTGTGTTGATAATATTCATCTTGCAGACGATGAGTCACAATAACGTGGCTGAAGAATGTTGACCAGACCACACATTAGGAGGTGAAGGGACGACGACGTTTCGGTCCGTCCTGGACCATTCTCAAGTCGGGTTCCACAATCGACTTGAGAATGGTCCAGGACGGACCGAAACGTCGTCGTCCCTTCACTTTCTAATGTGTGGTCTGGTCAACCTTCTTCTTATTACGAGAACTTGTTTATGTAACTGTTTATGTAATCACGTAACTTGATTATGACACTGAGGCTGTGAATCGACTGATTGCCGCTCCTTCTTCTTCTCCTCTTCCCGTAGGTCAGTTCCTGTCGGAGGTGGAGAGGCACGAGGACGCCGCCGACCACTACGTCAAGGCCGCCCAGCTGGCGCCCTCCGAGTACGAGATTATCTTCAACGCCGCCAACACACTCCGCCAGGCGGGCAGGAACAGGCAGGCTGAGGAGTACTACCGTCTGGCTGTCAACCTCAGACCTCAGGTAGGCCACGAACCTCACTGTTTGGGGGGTTCCTGGTAGGCCATGAACCTCACTATTAGGGGGGTTCCTGGTAGGCCATGAACCTCACTATTGGGGGGGGGGGGGTTCCTGGTTGGCCTTGAACCTCACTATTGGGGGGGGGGGGTTCCTGGTTGGCCTTGAACCTCACTGTTGGGGTTCCTGGTAGGCCATGAACCTCCCTCTTGGGGGGTTCCTGGTAGGCCATGAACCTCACTATTGGGGTTCCTGGTAGGCCATTAACCTCACTATTGGGGGGTTCCTAGTATGCCATGAACCTCACTATTGGGGTTCCTGGTAGGCCATGAACCACAGTGTCGGGGTTCCTGTCTGGTCGTCCTTTATGGGCTGCCAATCCTATTGAAGAAATTTCTATTGTTAACGAATTTGCAAATTATTTAATAATGAGCTTAATTGTATGCTTGCTTGAAGACCAAATTACTTTTGACTTAATGCAGAAAAAATTAATCAATATTACCTTCCTAATTTTCTTATTAACGTTTTAAATAGTTAAACTAGAACAAGTATATTGCATGTTGTTAAATAAATTCAGAATTAAAGCTTAATGCAAATTTTATTCCTGAAGAGGAGCGCTAATAGAGGTACCGCCAGCTTTGTTATTACTCATTCCTGACGATATCTATTCCAATAATATTTAGTATTAAAGTTAAAATTAAATGACGGAGTTTCAATCAATTTGTGGAAGCCTTTTGGGCTTCTCTTGTAATTCCCACTTTTGAAGTCCAGGTTTTAAAGTACCTGTTGACCAACCACACACTAGAAAGTGAAGGGACGACGACAAGGTTTGGTCCGTCCTGGACCAATCTTAAGTCGATTGTAATAATGGTCCAGGACGGACCGAAATATCGTCGTCCCTTCAGTTTCTAGTATGTGGTTTGGTCAACATATTTCAGCCACGTTATTGTGACTCCTCGTCTGCTTTAAAGTACCTTTCTTGAGAGTCACATCTATAAAGTTTAATTTTTGAAGTCCTCCTCTAGAAGTTCAAATCTTAAAAGACGATAATTTGATGTCCTCATATCACCATATCACATATGTAGCCAGTATCGGAGATATCAGGTGTGTTTGGTTTCTTCCCAGGAGGCCACTTCACATATGAACCTGGGGGCGATGCTGCACGTCAACGGCAAGCTGCTGGAGGCGGAGTCCAGCTACCTGGAGGCGTTGCGTCTCAAGCCCGACGACTCCATTACCAGGACAAACCTGCAGAAGCTCAGGCACCTGCTTGCCAAGAAGGGCATCAGTCCTTCAAGATAACCCGTAGCCGTCCTCTACAGTCTGTAGCATTGGGAAGGAGGGGTGAATGGAAGAAGGACCGTCGCGTGGGAGTGTGTGATCCCAAGGCCGCGCCCACAGACAATTATCCGTGCCTTGTGAATTTTCTTGCGCCAGCTTTCAGAAGCAGGACGCATTCTTTAATCCTTCACGTCCCCCTCCCCCTCAAACCCAGCAAGTGCCTGCAGAGTGTGTGTGTGTGTGTGTGGGCGGGTCGGAGGGCCGCCGAAGGGCCGTCGAAGGGCCGCCAGAGGGCCGCTTACTCCACCATGAGAGACAACCACCACAAAGCTCTCTCACACACACACACACACAAACAAACAATGCTCAAGTTGGTCCACGTCGTCGAGCCGTCGTGCAGGCGAGGCGCCGCAGTGACCTAGTGAGAAGACAAGCAGTTATGAGCCGGGGCGGGAGGCTCACCTAGGCTCATTCTCTTACTCACTACATAACGAGAATGAGCCTTAGTGAGACACTCACTCTGGATCATAACTGCTCATCTAGTCACAAGCTTACACAAATAGCAGCGATACCCAGGTTCACGAAGTGATAGTGCAGCAGACTGAGGTTCGTAATTCTTCTGTGGCGTTGAGGTTCAAGCTGGTCCTAGCATCCTGGGAGCAGTAGTTCAGCTTGAGTGCTCTCTGCTTGACCTCAGTCAATATTTGTACACTGGAGATTGAATTGTTGGAAAGTGTTATTTGCTATCTATACAAGTTTCATGTATAAAAAAAAGAAGTATGTTTGGAAAGGAATCCACTTGTATGTGTGACGACCAAAATTTATTTTAAGTAAAGCCATTAATGTATGAACGACAAAAACAATAGAATTTCCTATTTGAACTACGGCTGTGTTGCCTGAGCGTCGTCAGTCCCTGCGGCTGGCGCCTTGGGTGAAGCGTCTCCCCTGTGAACCTAAACATCGTCTTCAAGACGTAATACACATCATCCAGCTTGTAGTATAATTATTTTAAATATTGTTTTTATAATATATAGACTCCAGAAGATGTTTTCTCAGATCACATCTGTTAGCATACAGATTATATTACGGAACGTTAAAATTAGCAGAGTGCCAAATGCAACATATTAGATCCCAACTTAGTGCCAACATTAGCCGTTCCCAGGCCTTGCATTTTATATTGGTTCCTTAAGTTGTCTCAACTTTTAGTCTCCATAATTACAGTCGTAAGTCCCCCAGCAATGAGTCCTACCACTTCAATGATGTAAAACCAAGCTTTTTTTCAGGTGTACAGTCACAGTCTTAGAAAAACTTAAGTCTCAAATTCCCAACGAGCTCGTCAACTTAGTTTCATTCTCTTTTACAGGGTAACTGCAGCTCCACATTCTCCTCCTATGAGTCATTCTGATGATATGATTATCGTCAGTGTTTGTTATATATGAATCGTATCCATCAGTCATATTCATGCTTCTGTATGATTTAGACAGTATTTATCGGTAATAACCTTCGCTTAGAAAATGATTAGCTAAGTTTGTTGTTGTGATGGCCAATCGAATCCACTATGTTCCTCAATAAATACATATATATATATGTATATATATATATATATATATATATATATATATATATATATATATATATATATATATATATATATATATATATATACCTGTGAACTCATAAGTCTTTCTTCCGAGAAATCTGACTGCGCGTGCGCAAACACACACACACAAATATACAAACACATAGACACACACACAGACACACACACACACACACAAACACAAATACCAAAATACTCGATGGTAAAGGAGGAAACATCCACTATTAACCTCAGCAAATCAAGAGGGTATTGTTGGAAGCTGTAGAACAAGATGAGGCATAGAGATGTGATAAAATAGTTATCTTAAGAGTAGTTGGAAAATTTAACTTGACCATGCAGGCACAAATAGGTGAGTATACACACATATGCACACGCACACACACACACACACACACACACACACACACACACACACACACACACACACACACACACACACACACACACTCACACACATACACACACGAACACAAACACATATACGTGTAAGTATTGCTCCGTCTTCTCCTTGTTCTTATCTGAGATTTTAGTTAGTGATTTGTTCAATATATTTATTCCCTTGTAATGAAAGACGGTGTTTAAGGGTGTGGGATCTCAGCTGGTGGACGCGAAGAGGCTCACAGAGCCGCCCGTTACACATCCTTTACATTCCCCCTTCACTTATTTCGTGCTGCCCTTCACGTATTTCGCGTTGCGCTTCACGTATTTCGCGTTGCGCTTTGACAGGCAGCACTTGCGACTGCTACTTTACCGTGTCCTCCCAACCACTTAAAAAGGTCTTCCACGTCGTTCCGGAAATTGAATTGAAAGTTAGACTGTGATTGTTGTTGTACTTTTTATAAGATTTTATAATAGTGGATTTTTGTAGGTAATTCGACTGTCAAATTAGAGCCGAATACTTTTCGGCTGTTCGTTAAGGATGAGGACAGGTTCGTGCATGAGGTTCCGCTTGTCAGTGGTCCGGGATGTGCAGTCAGGCAGTTTCTGAACCGATTCAGATGCGCGGATGTCCTTTCGTCTTTGCTCCCTTCTCCATCTCCTGCCGGCACATCTTAGCCCCCATTTTCTTACCCTGTCTCTTGCTCCCCGTCTCTTATTCTTCTGCTCACCACCCCCCTTCCCATTTCTATTATTAACTCTTCTGCTGTTCCTGTCTCTTCCACTTTTCTATCCTGTCCCCCCTCCTATTTCCCTTCTCTCTCCTCATTATCGTATTTTCCTCCTACTCTTCAGATCGTGATGAGTATTATTGTAGCCAACTATAAACTGTGATCATATATAGACAGGCCCGGACGCCTCAGCCTACATTATAGAGGCAAACTACGGTTGTAATTATGTAAAAAAAAATGAAAAATAATAATAATTAGGACTCTGGCGAGGACTGTGACGGAGGTATAAGGCTTCCCTCTCAAAAAAAAAGGGCAGTTGGAACAGACCTCTCCCCCCCCCTTTCCCTTCTGACCCCCTCTCCCCTTCCCTTTGCCCCTTCCACCCGTCTGACAGCCTCGAGGTCATAGGGATCTCCGTTACTATGTAATAGCCAAACCGGATGATGATATCCCCTCCCCCACCTTAGGCCAATCCTCGTCAGTGTTGCCATTAGCTCAGCGCCAAGCGCAGCATCCTCGGGGTGGGAGGGGGCGTTCCGGGTCATTTTTAACTGGCCATAGTGCCGAGTCTGCTGTCCTGACTCCATTTGTGTCTGCTTCAACTCGGTTTCAAATATTTAATTAGAAGTAAAGGTCTACTACGTTTTGTATGACAATTGAATAATAAGATGATGTAATATGATGGATAATAAGATATTTTCGATGTTTAAGAATGTTTAAGGTAGCTAACAAGCACCAATACTCAGGACAACTGGCTCTGGCACGTGGCCTTTAGTAGTCTTGGTAAAACAAAAAAAAAACTTAAAAAACAGCATTCAGTTATAAACAGCATAAAGGATATTTTGTTTTAAGCAGCATTTTAGAAAACTAAAAACATTATTTTAAAGACAAAAACAAAACAAAACAAAAAAAAACAAAATAGAACATAATTTTTTTTAGAAAGAGTAAAACACGACCATTCAGGAAGTATGACCATTCAGGAGAAATCATCAGTATTCAGGAAGAAAACGCACACTAACCATAAGGAAAGAGCATCAGTCAGGGGGAACTTAGCCAGGTATGGTAAATGATCGCGATCCACTAAACAAGAACACAACCTTTGCTTGCCCTACTGAACGAAACTGGTCACTAACATCTCACTTGTCCAAGAAATCAATAAACGATTACAGCCATAACAAAAAAAAACAGCAACAGACAAACAAACAACAATCACAACAACAATTACAATCTCCCCCCTTTTTTTTTAAACTGTATTTGTTTGTATTGACCATCTCGATTTGATATTTGTTAAGTTGGCAAAATGTGACCGAGCTCTATGTACTATAGGCCTGAACATCAGTGCAATATTATGTTTCCTGTGAAGGGAACTGGCGAAACATTTGTCAGCGAGATGATGTCACTGTCGTCAGCTGGTGGCACTGTTGTCAGCAGCTGGTGGCACTGTTGGCAGCAGCTGATGGCACTGTTGCCAGCAGCTGGTGGCACTGTTGTCAGCAGCTGGTGGCACTGTTGTCAGCAGCTGGTGGCACTGTTGCCAGCAGCTGGTGGCACTGTTGCCAGCAGCTGGTGGCACTGTTGTCAGCAGCTGGTGGCACTGTTGCCAGCAGCTGGTGGCACTGTTGTCAGCAGCTGGTGGCACTGTTGCCAGCAGCTGGTGGCACTGTTGCCAGCAGCTGGTGGCACTGTTGCCAGCAGCTGGTGGCACTGTTGTCAGCAGTTGGTGGCACTTGTTAGCTGGCTTGTCATCTTTTGTCACTGCAGGTACTGCTACCAGCTGATGCCGTTTGTTGTTAGTAGATGTCACTAGCTCAGTGCATTCCAATGTTTTGAGTAGAGTGTTGTGACAAATGTCAACACTGCTGCGGCAGCTGTCGAAGTTATAACTGACAGCAATATAAAACGAGGTGTCAATCACTGCAGCTCATGTCTACAGCAGAAGCCGGTGCCCCCTGACATTACCTGCTGCCCCTGATATCAAGTTGGGCCTCTGGCATCAGCTGGTATCCATGAACATGGCAGGTGCCCTAGACATCCGCTGGTGTCCCCTGACATCAGCTGGTGTCCCTGACATCAGCTGGTGTCCCCTGACATCAGCTGGTGTCCCTGACATCAGCTGGTATCCCTGGCAGCAGCTAGTATCGCTGATTTCACGTGACGTCTGTGCAACAGCTCCCTTCAACCTCAGAGCCCGGTGATGTGGGGTCGGCGGTCAGAGAAAGCGGCGGGGGTCACACGTGAGCCTTCCCTGACTGTTGCTTATCTGGGGGTCACACGTGAACCTTCCCTGACTGTTGCTCATCTGGGGGGTCACACGTGAACCTTCCTTGACTGTCAATCAGCGGGGGATACCCCTTGGGCTTCTCCTGACTGTTGCTCAGAGGAGAGGTCACCCTTGGACCTCTAATGACTGTCGATCGGGAAGGGGTCACGCTTGGGCTTCCCCCCTGAGAGGCCACTCTTGAGATTCGCCGGCTATCCACACTCGCTCATGTTATAAATATTATTTTGATTACATTATTGTGATGAAGCCATGTTCTCTAATGTCTTGTAGATGATATGCCAAAGACTACTTAGATATGTTTCTTAGATGTGTAAGAGATGTCGCCTCATATTACTGTTAATAATCCCTTTTTTTCCCCCAAAGGGGAAACGCCGCAAAATCAAAAGTAGTGTTTGTATCTAGAGTTTGGTGGGCGGGGGTGGGGGGCTGCGACCCCTCCTCCCTCCCGGGTGGTGATGTGGTGGTGGGCGCAGGTGGGTGCAGGTGGGCGTGTGTGGTTTTTCCAAACATAAGCTTTATTTATTGCGTTATTGAACCTTCTCCTCCTCTTTCCCTGAGACCTGGCCACCTGCCCCTACCCCTTAGGGGGGGATGGGGGAGGGGGTTGTTGACTAAGTGGGCGACCCCCGCCCAATCCTAACCCCTCCCAACCCCCACCCACCACCACCACCACCCCCTGGTCTCACCTCCCTCACCCCCAACCACCAAGTAATTATTTCTTCCTTAATCAAAAACTTAAGGGCTGTGTATATCCCTTATTTCTTGCTTCAATTTCCTTTCTTTCTTGCTAATGGCTATGCTCACCATTTATCCTCCTTCCTGTTAGCCTTCTTTTCTTCATTATTTTATTCCTTTCTCTCTCTCATTCACTCTTTTCAAGTATCTTTATCTGTTAAATATTTTATATGGATATACGTATTTCTTCTACTAAACTCGATCTCTTAATTATTTATTTGTATTGTGTGCTGTATCACAGCTTTTTATTATTAAAAGTCCATTTGTGGTTTTTACTTCCATCTTTCATGGTGATACTTTTCATGGCTATATTTGTATGTTTTCCTAACTGTATTCTATGTTTCTCAAGGCTGTATCCTCTGTCTTCTTGCTGTCTTGCCAACAGGAAATAAAGACTTTGTTTTTATCAATGCATTTTCCTAACCCGTCTTAAGCGACTGCATAAAAAAGTTGTCATTTAGCATAATTATTAAAATCCATAAAAATATAGAAGATAAAAAAGTTAAGAAAAGAAAATTGTGAAAATTAGTACATATATTACATAAATAAGAACGAATAAAAAGAGTAGTATATGTATGTGTATATGTATAAGAAGCAAATGAAACAAAACAATTCAATATATTCAGAATAAAAGGGGGATCAAGATTAAGGCGTATAAGTAGGCATATTAAATAATACTCATTTGCTCATGAAGGGAAAATCATCGTATAGTCCCCTGGTGATCGGTTGGGACACTACTGAAGGTGATGAAGACGACAATACACCGAAAATAGTGAAGCAGGTGACGCAGGTAAGCTTTTAAGGCAAAATTTTGATAGAAATAACTATAAAGTTTTCTCTGTGCTGTAACGACATCACTGGACGAGAGGGACGAATATCTGTCGCTTCTATAACCAGACACAAGTCTAGATAGACTTATAGGTTTCCTCTTTACTGGTGTTCTGGGGATTTTTAATCATAATTCAGTGTCGTTCATTTAGATTACAAAACTCGCTCCTTCATCTCTTGCAATCGGGTTTTGTAATCCTCCTTTATCTTTTGTATTTTTAATTGGGAAAAAATTCGGTCTTCAGAAGTTCTCCATGGTCTTAAGGTGGTTCTCCTACAGTGCGGAAAAGCTCAATAATGACAAACTAAGCAAGTTTAGGAAGCTTGGAACGACGCTATGTCAGCTGTAGGTATAGTCAGTCAAGGATGTAGAAGAGCTGGAATAGTCACCCCTAAGGGCTACGAGCCATAACAAATAGAAAATGCAACCCCAAATATTCTTCCCGAAAATTTTTCGTCCGACTCGATGGTTAGACGAAGGGCAAGATTCACGAATCAGTTACGCAAGTACTTACGAACGTGTACATCTTTCCTCAATCTTTGGTTGCATTTATTAAACAGTTTACAAGCATGAAAACTTCCCATTCAACTGTTGTTATTTTGACCAGACCACACACTAGAAGTTTGAAGGGACGACGACGTTTCGGTCCGTCCTGGACCATTCTCAAGTCGATTGTGTAAACGTCGTCGTCGCTTCAAACTTCTAGTGTGTGGTCTGGTCAACATACTTCAGCCACGTTATTGTGACTCATCGCCTGCAACTGTTGTTATTGTTATAAACAGCCTCCTGGTGCTTCGGAGCTCATTAACTGTTTAATAATTGTAAACAAAGCCGCCAAAGATTGAGAAAAGTTGGACAGGTTTCGTAAGTGCTTCCGTAACTGCTTCGTGAATCTGGCTCGAGGCTTGAGAGGAGCTGCACGTCTAACCTCCGAAAGAATGCCGTTCGACAGGAACCCAAATTAGAGGCGAGTACTGCATGACTGATGTTATACATGGATTGCCAAGAGTTACATATATTTTTTAGCTTTTAGGCGATTCGCGATATGCGAATTTCCACACCACATTTAGCTGCAAAGTTTTCATTATGTAAAATGAAGTGATATATAACCTTTACTTACTAACATTGTCGTTTCATGGGATAATTATCTAAACTATTCAGGAACGAAGATCACATCGAAGCAAATGTTTCAGATGAATGGTCCAGTCAAATTTCGTTTAAGTAAGTTTGATTCCATGATGTGTCAACGGGAGGAATTACTATGTATAACAGGAAAGGTCTGGTTTCTTGATAGTTACAAGAACACACAGACAATTTCTATCTACATCACGCCTTTTAAACTTCGACAGGAGTCTTTCATCCAAAATACAGTCCACTTCTACCCAGATGATATTTTTATTTAGTTCAAATTCGAAGGGAAGGGAAGAAATGGGAAGGGAAGGGAAGGGAAGGGAAGGGAAGGGAACAGAAGGGAAGGGAAGGGAAGGGAAGGGAAGGGAAGGGAAGGGAAGGGAAGGGAAGGGAAGGAAATTAAAGAAAAGTGTCAGCTGGGGGAGAGAATACTGTACAATTTCGAAGTCATTTACAGTAACACAGAAAACGTGCTATTAGAACATTTTAAACCAAATTTTATGCAACTTATTGAACAACTATTGTCAATGTGCTTCTATAGTGTATCCACCAAAAATTTTTCAGAGATTGTCAAAGTCCTTTAAGCAAGGATATGATTCACAGCTCTTTTCTAATATATTGGTTTGCATTTTGAATTCGTTAGCTGTTCAGTGTAACCTTGCAGGATGACTGCAAGGTTATGGGTCATATGAAGATACTTTAAATGTGTTCTTTTGTCTACAGGATATACCAGAGGATATTTATCCTTAGAGGAAAGAAGGAATGAGAGAGAGAGAGAGAGAGAGAGAGAGAGAGAGAGAGAGAGAGAGAGAGAGAGAGAGAGAGAGAGAGAGAGAGAGAGAGAGAGAGAGAGAGAGAGAGAGAGAGAGAGAGAGAGAGAGAGAGAGAGAGAGAGAGAGAGAGAGAGAGAGAGAGAGAGAGAGAGAGAGAGAGAGAGAGAGAGAGAGAGAGAGAGAGAGAGAGAGAGAGAGAGAGAGAGAGAGAGAGAGAGAGAGAGAGAGTTTGAATCCATCAGCAGTAGCAGTAGCTGATAATCTGGCTTAGTAACTTACGCCTTGAAGGCAAAGTGAGAGGCAGGAATCTGGGTCGTCTCCACAGTACTAGCGAGGACAAATCCGAAGTTTTTTTTTTTTAAGTAATGACCTAGATATATGAGATACCTTTACTGCTCAACACTGTGGATCACCAAGCTTGGATGCCCACCTTACAACCACACAATTTATATAATAAGTTCTCTTCCCAGCAGTCAATTGTCCTTTTTTGTACTCGTCCCATTTAATTTACCGAATTACTAAAGAATGATTTTTTTGGATAAGTTAATCTATTGATAATGTGATTCAAGACTCTTGAATTTTCACTGAGAGCAATTCTTCACTGAAACCTAAAATATATCAGGTCACCTAGTTGATGTTTCTCTACTCTATTGAGAAAATTTGCGATCTGGAATTTTGAAAAAAAAAGATGCAAAACTTTTAAAATAATCCAGGATTTGAACGTTTTCTGTCAGAATAACATCCAAGTTTAATTTTCCCCTCGAGTTACACAAAACGCGTTTATTTCTTAACCCCCAAGCCAAGTGCGCTTAAGTATAGTAAGAGACTACAAGCGTCTATTGTAGTCACGATGCTCATACGATTATGAGAGAACTTGATTGTGCTTGTGCAACCAGCGTAGCGCGAACACACGCAACGAAGATCTCTTGCCTTTGATCTGTAATCATCAAGATCAGTGATGGTCCCGACAGATGGCCACAGCAACACTGATACGATTTGCGAGACCTAAGAGACCCGAAACATTCATCAAATTCTCGTGCCAACCATTTGGATAATGTCTGTCGAATGAATACCTTTCTGACACTCATCTTGACATACCTACTCATCAACCTGCTCAGTGAGATTACTGAGATGATTTTGGATTACTGTTCTCTTACCCATGGCTATATCATACGAAAACTAGGTCACATTGTTGCCAAATAATGCAAATTTAAAATACAAAATTTTTTTCGTGAGTCTTTTTAACATCTGCAATTGATTTAATTAAAATAATATATAATTCATGTGTACAAGAAGAAAGTTATAATAAAAACAAGAAGAAAGTTATAATAAAATAAAACATACGGGAATAATTATTATTATATACTGCATGACAAAAAAGTAAGGCCCATTATGACATGATATTTAATACATGAAACACAAAAAGTTGCATTAATTAGAAGAACTAGACTATTAGTATGGGAAATTATATTGCCTCAGTACTGTCTAGCGGCGACCTGTCCTCTTAAAAAGAACGTCGCTTTTGGCCGTTTGCCCGTATGGCCGAATTTGGCCGTAATTTGAAAATGAAAAAAATGAAAATAAATTTGGGATTTTTTTTTTCAACAACAGTAAGTTAAGGGTCCTCTGATAGGTTAGGTGGGCAGGAAATTCTTATAAAGTTTCAAGCTCCACTGGTTCCTATCTCTTTCAACAATGGATCAATATAAACAATACATATTAGCGAACTAAACATAGTTCCTCGTTTCACCCTCCATTGTTTAGTTAAAAAATGATATTACTCCATTTCACATCTACTTTTTGCATATTTCAAAATCGTTAGATAACATAACAATTTTCTGAGAAGTTTGTTAGATTCAACTTTGTCAAATGAATTTTAAGCATTTACAGAGTGAGCAATGATGTTGAAGATGAATAACTTCACCACCAAGAAACTGCTTAGCGAAGAAAATCGCCAAGTTTACACTTAAATTTATAGTTATAAGTGTCTAGTTCTTCCGTCAGTTAGAACGACAATATGCGCAATAAAATACTTGGTTTATTGCTGATATTATACTAACAATTCTATAGTTATAAGCCGAACGAGTCCAGAGGTGTAATAGTAAGCATCCATCAGTCTCAGGAGACTATGGAGTTACGCTCTGGTTGGCGGTCTGGCGTGGCCACTTTACTCGTTCGGCTTTCGGCTTAAAACTATAGATTTGTGTACAACAAGTACAAATCGTGATGTACCAAGGGAGACACAACCTGTAAGACAGTGATAAACAGACATACACGAATGGTCTTGAGAATGGTCCAGGACGGACCGAAACGTCGTCGTCCCTTCACCTTCTAGTGTGTGGTCTGGTCATCAACAGACATACAGTTCCGATACCGCATGTCGTCGCCTGGGCAGATTTTAGAAGGCCTATCTTTACAGATTTTCTTACCATTACAGAGGTTACAGTGCGGAGGCGTTGTATCATTGGAGACAAGATATAAACACGTCACACGGACAGCTGAATTCATGACAGATTCAATATAATCGGTCCTGTGCATGGACCTGTTGCTCAGCAATGAATATTAATCTGCTAAGGTATTACATATATTACAGGTATGAATCTTTTTGCTGTTCAAATATAACTCCAAAAATTTACTGAAAAAACTTAATTTTGGAAAGTTCACCCCAACAGG